AGGGGGGAGAGGCGAAGAGGGGGCGAGGGGGCGAGGGGAGGGAGGTGCAGACCACACAGGGACCCTCCCTGCAGGTCTCCAGCCAGCAGACCCTGGGCACCCCGCCCTCTGCCCAGCCTCTCCCTGGGGGTGCTCCAGCGCTCCATGGAGCCGACCTACTTGTGTGACTGATGGGCAGAAGCTGAAGGCAGGAAGGCATTAGACGTAAGGGCAGCTTCTGTCGCTGTAACACAGGACGACGCGCAGACGGCAACAGAGCGCCGTGCCAGCTCCGCGCTGCACAGGGCAGAGTGCGTTCTGGGGCCACTGCTGGTCTAATAGGGGACAGCCTTCTAGACGCCGTCCAGGGCCGGGGGACACATCAGAGGGAACCGCAGAGCGGGGCAGCGCGCGGAATAAACCTGCAGTGCGGCGTAGTCCGACAACCTCTCACCCTGAGAAAGCCGGAGTCCAAGCAAGAGATCAGGCAGGAGGCGGCAAAGGGCCTTGAGGAAAGGAGCTACGGGACCTGGAGTCCTGGCGCCATGCAGAGTGAGGCTCGGACCTGCATGAAACAGGCCCCGAAGCGCCACCGCCAAACCCATTCCTCTCTCAGGAAAGTTCCCGACACAGGGCCTGGCCCCACAGTGCAGGGTGAGCCTGGACTTGGGGACAACGGGGGCTCAGATCCGGCCAGAGGCCTGAAAGCACTGCGTCCGAGAGGGACTGAGGGAGAGGACCGCGATGTGGCTGGGCTCCCCCCGAGTGCCTGGCTCTCTCCGGTGAGCTTGAGCAAACAGGGAAGGGCATTAGAGATACAAAGAGACTGGTTACACTTGGAAGTTAACAAATTACATAAATTAATGGAGCTTCAGAACGGGAAACTTAGACGTGGGACAGGTCGTACCTAATCATTCCCTTCTTAGTTTTTTTTTTTTTTTTGAGAGGTTTTCACTATAGGGTGCGTGCATTCGCCAGACAGACAGAGAGAGAGACACAGAGACAGACAGCGAGAAATCACCCCCCAGAGAGGATGGTCACGCCGCAATCCCTTCTCCTCCATTCTCCTCGCGGGATCTTGGGCACGCACGCACACGCGCCCGGCGTGAGTTTTAAGCCACCGGGTCCGGGACGCGAACCGCAGTCGACTACGTGGGAGTCCAGCGACATAGCCATTACGCCAACTGCTGGTCCCATCATTCCCATGAAAAGGGTTACACACTACTTTCTCTTGTAATGCATAAAGGCTTGTACTATCCTCACTCCCAACTGACCGGACGTATTACCACAAGGATGACCTTCTATTCCTCTCTCGGCATTTCCCTCATTCTTTAAATCCCGTTTATCTTATAGCCCAATCTAAGCACTGACCCTTCTTTCACTGTCACTAGCCCAAAACTAGAGAATCTAAACATCTAGCCCCGTATGTAGAACGAGGCCCTGGGCCAGCCCCACGGACTACCATGTGGACAACTGCAGTTTGAATCCCAGCCCTGGCAGCTTGAAAAGCAGCCGGATGCGTGCACACAGCAGGCCCAAATTCCAAAACTGAGGGGGAGATGGGGAAGGGCCCACGGGAGCACGCCCACCGGGAGGCGCTTTCTCCAGCTCCCTCTCCTGAGGGTGCAGGTACACTCCGGCAAAGCAAAACAAAACGGCTGGGTCCTAAGCGATCTTAAAATCGCCTCAACATACCGGACTCGTTAAGTGAAACGTAACAGGCTGGCAAAGCTAATCACAGGCGCACCTACTCTCACCGTGCGAGATGGCCAGTGCGTGCCCGTCAGCCTCCTGTCAGGGTGGGTGTCGGGGTGGGTGTCAGGGTGGGGGCAGGCCACTCACTTCCGCTCTGCAGGCGTTGGTCACTTAGACAAGAGGCCCGCAGCACACACAAGGGAGACCCTTACACTCCGATGTCGTGCCACTGTTTCCGAAGGTCTCATGGCAGTTACGGGGCTCTGAGGGCGTTGCCTGGTAACTGGCACTCATATTTGCCCATCGGTGATTTAATATAAAGCCTTCTAAGCAATGCACCATTAGGCTCTCTGTTCTTACTGGTTACAGCATGCGTAGGTCAGCAGGCGTAGGTGGCTACTTAAGACAGCAACAAATTGATGGGGAAAAACAGAATACAAAGTTATACTTAAATGAGTCATTTTCTCCCTTTTTCTTCCCTCACCCCCAGCAACAGCAAATACATGTATTCCCTTCTCCGCCCCACCAAGAGTCAGAGGGAAGACAAGCACCCGCTAGCTCCCCAAAGCCACACACAAACTGCGTTTTACCTGAGTGAGCAAAGACCACGCAGCAAGCGCATCTGGGTATAAAAGGACAGTTTTACCGGGAGAACGGAGGGTCAGCCCACACAGGGAGGGCAGCAGGGAACACAGACCCTGGCGGGGTAACTGCTGATCTAGTGCATAAATTGCTTAGACAGAAACATCAGTCAGAAAAAAAAAGCCAATTACTACAGAAAATTGCTTCCAAACTGAGGCAGCTACTGGAACACATTATTAATAGATTTGAGCCAGACTTGGGCACTAAAACCTTCCCCTTTTCCCTTTAGTGTAGAAAAGCACTTCATGCAATGAATATTATTCCAGAATCCAATAGCAAAGACACTGAAATTCAATACTGGACTATAAAATGCTACAACTTTAAAACATAATAACAATTTTTCAAATGCCTGGAAATCTGCCTAGTGAAATAACACAAGGAAATCAAGTGTTTCGCTTTTTAAAGTGATATTTATTCTTGCTTAACCAGCACTGGTATGTTTTCCCCTTTGTATTCTTATTCCTTTGCTGCTATAAACTTCCACCCAAAAACACCCCACCCAAGCCACCAAATGTCTAAAACTAGGATGAATTACAGTATTTTCAGAAACTGGCGTCTCTGTTCGTGTGGTTACATTTTTTTGTTTTGGAGAGGTTTTTGCTATAGGACGTGCACTCGCCAGAGAGACAGAGAGACAGAAAGCAAGAAATCACCCCCCAGAGGGGATGGCCACGCTGCAATCCCTTCTCCTCTTGGGATCTTGGGCATGCATGCACACGCACCTAGTGTGAGTTTAAGCCACTGGGTCTGGGACTCGAACTGTGGTTGGCTACATGGGAGTTCAGCAACATAGCCAGTGAGCTAACTGCTGGTCCCACGTGTGGTTACTTTTAAATAGGCCCTCATGCTCTCTCTGAGCAGTTTCCCTAGCGAGAATAATGGTTACCATCCAGAAGAGAAGAAAAAGGGAACTGACTAAACAGTGTAGCTAAGACAGGTTCACTCAACAGGGCCTCTCTCCACGGGACCTTCCCTTCACTAGTAAGTAATAATGTCCTTCAGTTAAAAAGAAAAAAAATACATCTGTACCTCCTAGACACCATGAAAACATAACTTGAAACTGAACTTCTCGTCTGCAGAATCCGAGAAACTTCTCGTCTGCTGAGTCTATTCTCGTAGCAACTCCAAAACTGCTTCTTAGGGGAAATCGGCACAGAACCCACCAAGCTGATTTCAGACTGCCGGCCCCCAACAAGAAACAAAAGCATTAGGAATGTGGGTTGAAAACCCCCAATCCGAAAACTCAGAATCTAAAATGTTCCAAAACCTGAAACTTTCTGAGCTCTGACACAGACTCGAACTGGAAAATTCCACGCTTGACTGCACATGACAGGTCGCAGTCGAAACGCTACAAAAATAAAATTAGCGTCGTAAGTATTTAAACAAACTAATTTCATGTTTAGAATTGGGTCCCATACCCGAGGTATCTTATTATGTATATGTAAATATGCCCAAATCCCAAAGAAATCTGGAATCCCAAGCACGTATGGCCGCACGCGTCTCAGGTAAGGGCTATCTACCCTTCGTGTCAGCTGCCTGAGTCTCCGAACCGCCACCACCATGCAACCCACTGGCTCCGATGTACCATCAGGTCTTGAGCCACTCCCGTCACGGTAGCACCCTGTTACCGTTCCCTCCGTAAACACACATCGTACGCACACTGCACTGTGCCGCCAGTTCGAAACAGGAAACAGCAACTTAAGGACCTACTCCAGCTCATCAAGTCCCCGGTCAAGTGTAAAGGACAGTTTGTAATACTTCTGAGACTGAAGTCCAAAGTTTTCATTTATAATCACTGCTACAAGAAAAGTTTCTTTTTTGTGTTGTTTTTTGTTGTTTGACAGTATAACTTGATTTTTGGAGTTTTTGTTGTTGGTTTATAGTTCGTAATTTGATTCTGGGTTTTGGAATGGGGGGGGATTTATTTATTTATTTATCTGTTACCTTCATTAGCCTCTGGCCTTGAATTCTTGATATATGCAGAGAATTTGGCAAAGATGTCCATTCCAGCAGTATTGGACTCTGGGTGTTTCGGTGAGAGCTTTAAGTACCTAAAAGATGATAATGCCGCATTAGTGTTGAGTTTCTCTGTTGACGACTCACAGCGCTACGACGACCAGACAGCGTTTAATAAGTCACAACTCTGACAAATGCTGTCGACTACTTTCTACATTATTCTTAAACCGTGCTTTTGTTCACATAGTCATATTCCTGGCAACCACGGGGCCTCCGCACTCCGGTCTGTGCTGGGTCAGAGGGCAGCCTGGGACGGGAGATGAGCAGTGCTGGCCCAGAGCACGCTGCGACGGTGGACGTCCCGTACCCTCACCATCCGATACGGTGGCCGGGGGGGCAGGGGGCTCCCCGTTTTTGCTACTTACCGAAAGGTGGAGAGAAGGCGGTAAAAGTACTAGCCATGTCGCGAGTGCTCACGTGTCATCAGACAACACAGCTCGAGCACCTTCTCCACGCAACAGCCACCAACCCTGAGCGTGCTGTTGCTGGCCAGCCTGGGCAGGAGAGCCAGAGACTGACAGGAAGGGCCGGGCCCAGCCACCGCAGGTTAACAGCAACAACAGGAGCAGGCAGATCATTCACCTCCAACTAGACCCGAGACTGTCCAGTCTCCCATACGGTAAATAGTCCACAATGTGTTTATGAAGCTAGCACTGAACGAGAGAAAAATAAAATGTCAGAGATCACACTGACTCGTGCTCTCCTTTGAGAACAGATACGACACACCAGTTGTTATAAGTGCACACAGGGCTGGGCGGTGGCGCGTCAGGGAAGCACAGCCTGAGAGGCCAGCCCCGTGGGAGTTCTGAGTCCTCCCTGGGCACGCGGGCACCCCGAGCTGCGGTCCAGGGCTGGCTGAGGCTGGGCGCGGGTGGCAACATCGGGACCCTGTGGGCTGTGCTCTCTCTCCTCGCTCAGGGAAGAAATAAACAAATACACTGCTTAAAAATAACAAATAAAGACATACTCACGAATGTGTCCTTTCTGTATTCAGATTTCAAATACACATAATTGATGTGCACTTCTTCCTCAAATTGAAAAATACATGTGAAAAAACTCAACTACCATCTTCCCTTGGGCAGGGAGTGGGGACCAGAAGGACTTGGATTCCTAGCCCCATTTTGGGGAAGATTGAGCATCTTCAAGACCTTGCAAAATGTCACTAGAAAATGGATTTGGGGGCAGTAAGACTCTGGGAGGAAAAAAATCCTATGCTGAACTAGTTATTCAGTTTATTCATATATTGAAGATGCTGTCTTGCCAGCTGCCTTTAAATTAAAAGTGAAGGTGAGGGGACCAGCAGATGGCATAATGGCTGTGTCGCTGGACTCCCATGTAGTCGACTGCGGTTCAAGTCCTGGACCCGGTGGCTTAAACTCAACACCAGGTGTGTATGGGCGCGTGCCCAAGATCCCAAAAGGAGAATGGAGGAGAAAGGATTGTGGCATGGCCATTCCCCCGGGGGGTGATTTCTCTTTGCATTCTGTCTCTCTCTGTCTTTCTGGCGAGCACACATGTACTATAGCAAAACAAACAAACAAACAAAAAACACCTCTCCAAAAAAAAAAGTGAAGGTGAGACAGTTTTTGAAATAAAGGTAATTCATTTGCAAACTGTGTTACAGTTAGGTTTTTATATTCCTCTATCTTCTGTTTACTAGCTGGAATTCAGGAAGAGAGGTATCTTCTAAAAACTGGGCATAGTACTATACTTCAAAGGAGGATAGGGACCAGCAGTTGGCTTAACGGCTATGTCGCTGGACTCCCATGTAGTTGACCGCAGTTCAAGTCCTGGACCCGGTGGCTTAACCTCACGCCAGGAGCGTGTGTGCCCAAAATCCCGAGAGGAGAATGGAAGAGAAGAGATTGTGGCGTGGCCATCCTCCTGGGGGGTGATTTCTTGCTTTCTGTCTGTCTTTCTGGCAACATGCACCCAATAGCAAAAACCTCTCCAAACAAAAGGAGGATATAAAATACCTACTGAATACCTATATACACAAGCTTTCTTCTTCCTTTTCTCTAAAGAATTATTTAATTTTCTTAATTTGCTATAGGGCACATACATGCTCACCAGAGAGAGAGAAGAGGTGAGAAGGCTAACTGCCGGGTCCAAGACTTAAACTGTGACTGGCCAAGAGGGAGTCCAGTGCCATAAGCACCATGCCACGTACGGGCCCCCTCAAGCTTTCTTCTTAATAGATCTAATCTCCAAATAGCTCTCAGATCTTAAGCTTAAAGATTTTTCTTTTTGGGGCCAGCATATGGCACAATGGTTAAGGTGCTAGACTCCCCTATGGCCAACTGCGGTTCGAGTCATGAACCTGTCGGCTTCTTTCTCTCTCTCTGTTTCTCTGTCTCTCTCTGGTGGGTGTGCATGCCCTGCAGCAAAGTGAAAGATACTAATAATAAATAAAAGTAAATAATTCTTTAAAAAAGATTTCTCTTCGAAACAGTTACTGACATGGAGTTTTCAGTGACCGGTGACGGTAAATGAGCTTCACCTGGGTGTGTGAGTGCACGTGGATCTACAGATACATCGCCCCCAACAACTGGATGCTAGATGTCTCTCTCTCTCTGCCTGAGCTGAACCAGTTTATCCCAGGCCCTTGACCAGTAAAACAACCAGACTCCAGTTAAAATGTTCCTACTGCTTATAACAGAATCTTCACTGACTCATTTGAAACAAAAAATAGTGCAGGGAATGTAAGGGCCTCTTCAATACATCTGTGTCTTTCTCTGGCCAAGTTTCCAAAACTCTTCCCCTTTTCCCCAACCAGTATTTAGCTGTCCCTGCTTTTCCTAATGAAGAAAACCTCCTAAGTCTGAAAATAACCCACAGGAGGGCAGGTCTGAATTACACGATTCACATATGCATCACCAAATAAGAAGAAGTTTCAGAGAGGTAGGACTATCTCCATGCATATCTTCTTTGATACTCACTTGGGAGGGCATAAGACTTCTTCAAGAAATTCCTCAATCTTATTTACATCCGTTCTGACTTCACTGTTGAAAGTAATAAATGGTGGGTGGGTCCCGGGAGCCAAGTTCTGCAAGTCTGCAGGCTTCCTGTTAGGCAAAACAGGGGCCAAAATTAGATCGTTTGTACTCTACGAAGGCGAGTATATTTTAAACTCTCAGAGTGGTTCTAAGTTTTAAAGTATATAAAAATGAGTAAGAAACAGTGTTTTTCCATTCGGCAGAACAGCTGCAACAGGACTGTGAAGAAATGGGAAGAAACTCTGTGGTTGTTTAACCAACAGACGAAGCGTTTCGTTCTCGGCCCAACTTTAAGGACGGTGCTTACAGGACGGCGGTCGTGTGCAGGGAGAAAGGCCGGGGAGACTCCGTCTCTGGTTGCAGCGGTGCCGCTGACTGACTGTGCCAAGGGAGAGAAGCACTTCTCTGGGCTTTTTTTTTTTTCCTGCTGGCTTGGTTTGCAAAATAACGATGAGCAGCTGAGCCCTGCAGTCCTGTCCCCGCTAAGATCCCGGACCCTGGTGCTGCCTCTCTCCCATTCTTACATCAGTCCAGACTTGACGAGGAGAAAGGTCACGCGATCAGACGACCGAACACCAAAGCCCCTACACAAACCACGGCATAACCGAGGGTGAAGGGCGACCCTGAGCAGACACAACCACAGTGGGCAGGCATCCACATTCACGCTAACCGTCATCAAAAAATCAGATCGCGCGGGGTCAAATCAAATCAACAAAAGCACCAGTAACAGCGGAAAACGCTGGCGCTGCCCGACTGAAACGTACAATGGCTCCCGAGCGCACCAGTGAACCTCAGCGTCCCTAACCGCAGTGACGAGGCGGGAGCAGACGGCGCCGCGAGCTGAGCTCACAAAGCTGGCCGACTCAAACTTCGGGGGCAGCTGCTGGCAGAGTGTGACCCGGAGCCTCTCACCGGGTAGTGCACGAGGCCCGAGCGGGCTCTCCACTGCACTGGGCCCCGGGCGTGAAGTCACAAGGTATGAGTGCTTGCACAGACATGAGGCCTGGCAGTCTACTGGCAGATACCAGCGACGTGCGAAATGCAAACGATGCCGCTCTATCACAAACGTCTTCTTGTGATAACAACGAATGGGCTTGTTACTGTTTCATATAAGCGAAGTAGTGAATAAATACATTCTTTTAAGCTTCTCAGCTTTAATTTGTAATACAGTAAAACTGACAGACAGAACCTTCAAAACGGAGAGCTTTTCCAAGTCCTGGAAAATTTAAGAGCACAAAGAGTCCTGAGACCTAAAAGTTTTCCTACAGTGGAGGGCTGGGAGGGGAGGGATGGAGTTCCAGACCACCACACGGAACACGCCTGAGTTCTGGGTTTCAGACAGTACACAGGCCGACTGGCCGGCTTCTGCACGTCACTGGCACGGGGAATGGCAGTGGGGCTCAGGGGTGCTGGAGACTCAGCGACCGCCCACTGTAAGGAGTGGGATTTGCTCAGGTGCCGATGTGGACAACCAGCCCAAGATAGCGGAGGAGCTGAGACTACAGCGCTGCGTAACCACGGGGCCCTGCGTAACCACAGGCGCTCCTGGGGGACCGCTGCGCGCACACCCCAGGGTGCAGCACACACCGGCGAGGTGGGCCAGCCGGTGTGCTCCCACGGGACCCGCGTGGCGCCTCTGTCCTGCACCGGGACCAGCATGCGGATGGTGCCTGGTTAGGTGAAGGAGTGAGCACGCTGCCCGGAGACAGAGACTGAAGTGAGGAGTACCACCACGACCTGATGCCCAGTGTCTGCGCTGAGACGTTTCAGGGCCAGCCAGTGGCGTGGTGGTTCAGGCAGCTGGGCCCCACAGTGGCCAACTGTGTGGTTCAAGCCCCAGGGCTGGCGGCTTGACCAAGTGTGCCAGGCACATGCTCCAAGGGCATGGGAAACACTCGGGTGTGTGCTAAAGTCCTGGTGGGATGGGGAAATAGAGAAGGGATTGTGGCGACCGCCGACTCGGGTGTTCTTCCTGTCTCTGCATCTCCGTCTCTCTTCTCCCTGGTGACCACAGACAGTAAACTTAAAGTAACAAAGAAAAGGCCCAAGCACACAGCGGTAGCACCTTGGTAACTGAGGAGGGTTACGGAGATGTAACCCTGACCTTGTGTATGTTCCACAACTTTTGTAACTGACCATGTAAACTAAAAGAAAAAAGCAATCGGACAATATATTGTTTCAAAGAACCTTTCCCCTCCTATTAGACCCAGTTATTTGTCTTGTGTTTAAATTAGCCAGACCTCCTGCCTGCCTTCTTCCTTCCTTCCTGACTACGAGCACACGGAACTTAAATAAAATAAAGGCTCTCTATAAAGTATATTCTGATGGCGAAAGAGCTATTAAAATAATATTCAAAATAGAATGGAACCTAAAATCTATACGTAATCCAGTTTATCAGTGCCTGCCACCCACCACTCATTCATTCAGTCTGCCTCCATCTTTCAATTCACGTGTCTATGTCTGCATCCCACTGAGAGGCTACGAAGACTAACTTAACTAGCCAGTTCATCCTAGCTTCCACCTCAGACCCCTCCCTCCACCAAAGCTGGTCTCTTCCAACCCCTCACAAAAGATCTTTTCTATCAACTTCTATGAGAATCTAAACTCCAAAAAAGGACTTTTAAAGGCAAAATCTGATTTGATTGTCAACTCTGATTCGCTAAGCATTTAGTCTGACAAGATAAAATTGGCACAAAATGATGGGACAATGTGAAACCTGACTGAGGTCTTCCAGACCCACGTTTACTTAAATAGGAAGGTGAGCCTATGGCCCTCCGGTTTCTTTTGTAAGTACTCAACTCCGAATTAGAACCGATCCTCTTCTGGTCTTCATTGTGCTGGTTTCTTTCCGTTATTCCCTTTCTCCCGTGATCCTGACTACTGTTCCGTCCTCCCTGGGGAGTCCAGCGTGACCAAGAGGACCGTCATCTTCGGTCTGCACGTCACCCCTTCCATCCTCGCTCACACTACTTCCTCCTGAGCTCAGGGAAACCCTGCACAGAGTCCGGAAACCCCAGTAGCTCCAGGCTTATATACTTACCTTCAAAGTTTAAAAAGTTAACTGGGGTGGGGGGAGGCCAGCAGTTAGCGTAATGGCTATATCGCTGGACTCCACCGTGGTTCGAGTCCCGGACCCGGTGGCTTAAACTCACTCCAGGCATGTGTGCATGCATGCCCAAGATCCCGAGAGGAGAATGGAGAAGGGATTGCGGCATGGCCATCCCCCCTGGGGGGTGATTTCTTGCTTTCTGTCTCTGTGTCTCTCTCTGTCTGGAGAGTGCACTCACCCTATAGCGGAAAAAAAAAAAAAAACTCTCGGGAAAAAAAAAGTTAAACAGGAGGCCAGCAGATGGTGTGGTGGTCAAGGCGCTGGATCTCACATGGCCAAGTTAGAGTTCAGAACCCAGCGGCTTGAAAATCATGCCAGGCACGTGTATGTACATGCCCAAAATGCCAACAGAATGGAGGAGAAGGCGGGACCAGCAGATGGCGTAATGGCTATGTCGCTGCACTCCCATGTAGTCAACCACAATTCAAGTCCCAGACCCGGTGGCTTAAACTCATGCCACGCCTGTGTGCGTGCATGCCCAAGATCCCGAGAGGAGAATGGAGGAGAAGGGATTGCGGCGTGGCCATCCCCCCTGGGGGTGATTTCTTGCTTTCTATCTCTTGATCTCTCTGTCTTTCTGGTGATTTCATGTGCCTATAGCAAAAACCTCTCAAAAAAAAAGAACCTATAGCAAGAACTTCTCCAAAGGAAAAAAAGAATGGAGGAGAAGGGACTGTGGCGAGTCCACCGCCCCGTGGGCAGTGCCTTCTCACTTTCCCTCTCTCTGCCCCTCTCCAGCGTTATAACACGTGTACCCTACGGCAAAAAAACTTTAAAAAAAAGTGTTAACCAGAGCCCACTGCAGTGGCTCAAGGCCGAGGGCACCCTGTGTGACAGCTGAGGCTGCTGGGAGCCCCAGGTGCAGCTCCCCACCCACCCTGCAGGCCGAGCGCACAGTGCACACCTGGGCTCCTACGTAACTCAGGGCTGGGGCAGGGGTGGTCTTGATGAGGCAAGACCCTGTCAAAAATACCTACTTCTCTCCCTTCTCACCCACATTTGCACAAGCTCTTATTAAAAAAAATAAAATCATAAGTAGCACAAAAGTAAGAAAGAGCAATAGTATTTTATTAATACAGATAGAGCTAATAAAATCTGCATAAGTTACGCAAGAGAAAGAGAACACACTCGTGGAATGATGCTAGTGGTAAGAATGTTCTTAATCGGAGCCAGCAGATGGCCTAATGGTTACACCGCTGGGCTCCCACACAGTCGAGCGCAGTTGGAGTCCTGGGCCCAGAGACTTAAAATTCATGCTGGGCGCGTGAGTGCCCGAAATCCCAAGAGGAGAGTAGAGAAGGGACTGCACCGTGACCGTCTCCCCAGCGGGTGATCTCTGTCTCTCTGTCTCTCTGGTGAGTGCATGTACCCTATAGCAAAAATCTATCTTTAAAAAAAAAAGAATGTTCTTTACTCTTTCCATGGGCAAGTAATAGTCACCTGAAAAACAATTTTCTCACTCTAAATGTCACAAAACACATCCATCCACATTTTTATCATTAAACGTTGGTCAATTAAATGCCTAAGTGAAAGCTTAAAAGAAGTCTGTCTTACAAATAATTTTTCATCAGCAGAGTTGGGATGGATAAAGGGGGAAAAAGACTCAGTGCTTTAATGAAACGAAATAAATAACAACGATTAATTCTCTATAGTTACCTGACAGCTTCTGAGCTCTCCAAACAAAACTGACTTTCAGGGGAGGGAGAAAACGAGCACTGCAGAGAAGGAAGGTCAAAGGCTGAATAAAAGGACGGGACTAACGCCCAGACCTTCGGCGCTGCCACGCACCAGCTGTGGGACTAGGTGAATCGCACCATCTCCGCGCCCGGACTTCCTCATCTGGACTGCGGCAGCGACCTGCTCTGACCGGAAAGATTACACAGTGTTTGTGAAAGTGAGCTGGGGCCGGCAGGGGGCGTGCTGGTTACAGCGCTGACTCCGGGGTGAGGTGGCTTGCTTT